CCCCAAAACCCCAAAACCCCAAAACCCCAAAAATCATGAAAAATATTGGATAATTTAAAACTAAATAAACGTGCATGGAATCCACCCAAGAAATTCCAAAGCTGTGCTTGGCACCAATGGTGAGGGTATGAACACACCCATTCAGGCTCCTTGCCTTAAGGCATGGTGCTGACTTCATCTATACTGAAGAGATCATCGACAAGAAGTTAATCGATGTAGAAAGAATTGTAAACGAGGATTTAAAGACGATTGATTATGTGAGCAATAAGGACAAATCTGTTGTTTTACGTATCTCTGAAGAAGAAAAGCCAAAATTGGTCTGACAACTAGGCACCAATAATCCTGAAACAGTTGTTAAAGCAGCTAAGATCATTCAGAACGATGTTCATAGCATTGATATCAATATGGGATGTCCGGAGTTTTTTTCAATACATGCTGGAATGGGAGCTGGGTTGGTCAAACTTCCTGAAAAAGCCAGGAGCATACTTCAGGCTCTGACTGAAAACATTGATATACCAATAAGTTGTAAAATCAGAATTCTTCCAGAAGCCACTGATACATTTGAATTTATCAAGACAATGCAATCTACTGGAATTGAACATTTGTCCATACATTCAAGGATAAGAGAGGAGCTTTCTAAGGGCTTTGCTCATTGGTCAATAATTCGGGAGGTAATCCAAAACAAGGATATTACTATCCCAATCCGTGCAAATGGGGACTGATTCAGCTGCAATGATGCAGTAGAAATCAAAAGGTACACTTCATGTGATGGCATCCTCATTGCAAGAGGAGCATGCCATAACCCTGCAATATTCAATGATATCAAGGATCATTGGACAACTGTGTCTCATGAAGAAACTAAGGTAAGCTCATAAATGAATGATTTAATCTAATAGGAAGAACCAGCTGAAGATCCTTACCAAGAACATAAGAAACCCCTTCATGAATGTGGCCTTGATAAGCTAGTCGAGGAAGAAACCAAACTTGAGGAGTTCAAACCTGAGGTAAAAGAAGGGATGAGCAAAAATCAAGCAAAGAAAAGGGCTAAGAAGATGCTCAAGAAAAGCAAGAAAGATAACTCAGCCCAAAATGGGACAGATGGAAAACAGTCCAAAACTTTAGCAAGAATTATAGAGACTCGAAACCATGGATGAAATAAAGTTGAAATCCTATCTCTTTGCCAAGAATATCTCAAGATAGCGATAGAGTATGGCAATAGATTTGGGAATACAAAATACACTTTGAATTATATGCTCAGGACACATAAAAAGGAAGAAGAAGCTTTCCAGAGAGTCAATTCAGCTAGAAATATGAAAGAAATGGCGAAGGTACTGTTTTTCCTCTGATCTTTAGGCTCTATCTGTAGATGAGTTCTATACAGAACAAGTGGCTGAGCGGCCTGTTCTGATTTCTTATTTCACAGATACATTCTATAAAAAGAAAAACAAACTAAAGAGACAGAAAATAGAAGAGGAGGAGTAATTGTTCAATAATATAGATACTCTAAGGGGTTTTGGGGTTTTGGGGTTTTGGGG